AAGAACTTTTATCTGTTTGTAATGTTTCAATTATAGTTTGTTTATGTATTAAAGATTCAGTTAGTGTTTGTAAACGTTTTTCTAATTCATCATCATTAACATGATTTATTGTTTTCGAAGTTAATTGTGAACGTAAACGTTCGATTTCATGTTCACGTTCATTTAATTGTCCTTGATAAATTTGTTTTTGTTTATGAAAATCATCATTGACAGAAATTAATTCTTGTTTTAATTTATGATAATCTTGTTCAGCTAATGTTAAATGTGAACGTCCATCTTTTAATTGTTCATTTAATTGATTTAGTTGTTCATGATATTGTTCATCACTGTGTTGAATTAATAATTCAGCTTCTTGAAGTTCGTTACGTAGAGTATGAATTGTTAATTCACGTGCTTGTAATTCTTGTTTAAATAATTCATTTTCGCTTTTTATTTCTTCATATTCAATAGATGCCCAATTAGAAGCTATAGATGAGGATGAATTTCCGACGAGACTAATATCAAGAATAGTAGAATCATCTTGAGTATTGATAGTTTCAGTTTCTAGAAGAAAAAAAATTTAATAAGAGTTATAATACAGTGAAAAACAATAATAAAAAATCTCTTCTGATTGAGAAGATCATTAGATTTATTCGAAAGATTTAACATATAGACGTGTTTTAATGAGAAGATTATGATCCTGAGTTGGTGAAGGAAGAGTTGAATAATATCGTATAGAAAATACAGAACTGTCAAACAATCATTCGACATGTATTCACACTAGCAAGATTTCAGAAGTAAGAGGAACTACCTAGACAGACAAGACTAAAAAAAACGGAGAGATACGGCGTAGAAATTTTGAAAGTTTAACGAAAATAAAATCTGGAAAAGCGCACATTTTTACCTCCGTTAGCTTTGTCTACTGATACGTAAAAACGATGTATTTACGAATTCTTAACGCATTTTTTTAGTGGTCTTGTCTGCCTGGGTATCAATGTGTGCCTAGATTAGAGAGATATTTCGAGCAAAAGCCGTTTTGTTCACCATAAAAGTATAGATAATTATTTTCTCTATATTCAATAAAGATACTTTTGCTCCCTGATAGAAATGACAACCTTTTCCTGTCGTCAGTGATTGATATATATAGATAATCTTGTATCATGCCGGATTCATACAAGATGATTTCAATCTGTATAATCGCTTTTATCTGATAGAGAATTTTAGTTCTTGATAAGAATTTAATTACACTAACCATGTTGATCTCCAATAGTTGGTGTACTACTTCGATGTTGTATAATATCTTTAAGTTTCATAATTAATTTATCTTTTGTTTGTAAAATTCTTTGTGCTTTAATTTTATATTCATTCATATCTAATTCTAATTGATGAGTTAAATTTTTTGCATATTTTGTTTGTTGTTGTTGTTCATAGAATTGTAAATGTTCATCATTAAAACGTTTTTCAGTTAATTTTAATTGTTCAATTAATTGTTCATTTTCATTATTATAACGTTCATTTTCATTTATTTTTCTTTCTAATTCATGTTCTAATTGTGTTATACGTGATTTAAAAAAATCTAATGATTCTGATTGCATACTTGATGAATTTTGTAACATATGAGAATATTCATTTTGTAATTGTTCATATTGATTAGTTTTTGTTTGTAATAAACTATCAGTTTCAGCTAAACGAACACGAAGTAAAGCTACTTGAGAATCTTTTGCTAGCAAAACTTCTGTCGAATCTGATTCACGTGAACGTAAATCACGTAATAAAGCATCAGATTCAACTATTTGTTGTTGATATTGAATTTGTTGACGTTTATAAAATTTGAATTCATTTTCATATTGTTGTTTATCACGTGTTAATATTTGTATTTGAACTTGAAGTGAAGAAATGAAATCTTTTTCAGAATTATGTATATTAGAATCTTCTATTGATGGAATATTCTATATAGAAATTGATCAAAAAAATGAATATTAGAAGAAAAAAAAATTTTTATCTTACTAATACAAGTTCTTTTGTGTTATTATGAGATGATATTAGTTGAGAATCATCAATAGGATTACTAGATGAACTACTAGTTCGTCTTTTATTGTTAGAAGATGAAATACGAATTGGTTTCTTTGTTTCATTAGTAGTGATTGGTGTTGAACTATTAAGATAATTCATAAGATCAGATTCATCTTTCTTTTTAGGACGACGTGTTGGTATTACTGGAGGACGATTCGATTGAATAGAATTTATATTAGATTGATCTAATGGTATTGAAGAAGTAAATGAAGGAATGTCAGGAATGATTTCAACTTGATTTTGTTTTGGTGGTAATTTTGAAGTCTGTTGATGAAGTGCAGCATTTGTTTGTTGATCTACTCGATTTAAAATATCTTCAGCTTGTTTTAGTAGCCAAGACATATTTAAAACAAATAGTAATTCAATTGGAATTGGAAATGTTGATTGCGTATATGATAGAGAGAGAACAGAACAATATAAATGACTCATTCAAAATGGACCATAGTACCAATAGATCAGCTAACGATAGATGTCCCCTTCGTATTTTAATATAAATAAAATGATCTAAATCTGCGAGTTAATATCGCTCGCCGAACTGAACTGCTACATATGTAAAATATAACTACATTTTGTCGAAATCAAGATTTACTTGTGTAAAAATGACTATTTAACTCTCATTTTTGGAAAAGTTTCATTGCAGATCATTCTTTGACACTATGTAGAAAGTATAATTTTAAGAAATGTCAAATTCGGTCAGCTGACGATTTTCATTTTAAATAATATCAATATATTTTTTTAGACAATTACTCACCTATTTGAAAGAATAGGAACATTAAATTGATTAACCACAATAATGTTATTTTGTTTTATTCAAAATAATTCACACATCGAAATTGATTCGATATCTTTCGGTAGAAGTTTACATGTTTCTTATATTCATAATATTCCAAAAAAAGGTACGCTTAAAAAATTGCTTAAATATGTTTTAATAAAACAAACATTAAGCAGCTTATATCCTGCAATTTATTGGTATAGACAAGAATTAGAACAACTCGAAGAATTCATCGTAATGTTTTTCTTGTCATTATGCTTATTTATCTACATATTTTTTCTATATCTTTTTCTCTCAACAGACTTGTACTTAGTATGGAAGCGATCAGACACGCAAACAAGGTTAACACACGACTAGAATATAATACATATGTAAAGAACGTGTCCATTACGAATATCATTAGAAGTATTGAAAAACAGGGGCGCGTGGAGTGTTACGCGCCCCCTGCTTTGGAAAGTTTTAGTTTTTTTTGGTCACGAAAATCAAAAATAAGGGTTTTTACGTGTTACATTTAAGCAAAAAGGGTGTTGCGCCCCCCCTGCTTTTAGAACTTGACGTAATGAGATTTTACACCTTCCCCCTGGCTTCGAGACCTCGATACGCCCCTGATTGAAAAATATATTAATTCTTAATAAATAAAAGCTTTTTTTATTCGTTATAATTTGATTTTATATCCGAAATTCACAGAAACAAATAAATAACATTTATCGTGTGAATTACAATTATATAACACATCGATTCGTTTACTTAATTTATCCTTATTGATATTAATGTGGATTATTTTTTATTCATAGATACTGTTGTTGATTTTCTTATATCGATTATTGTGACAATACTTATAAATGTATGATTTATTGAGAAAAAAAGAAAGCATAAATGAGTAGAAGAAAAAAAATTATTTCAAATACATTTGATATGATTAAAATTAAGATCATAGCAAAAAGCAACTTCATGTAATTTATTTTTTCGCATCATAACATTAATTTCTTCCCATTTTAATTGTGGATTTATATCTATAAAACTTTGTTTAATACTTTTATATCCTAAAGTTCCATTATTTAAAATGTCATTTATATTATTAGGTATATTTATCTTTGAATAGAGATAATTGATTTTTTCGAAATAATCTTCAGGTTTTTGCCAATAACATGTTCCATGTTTTTCCCATTCATCTTGCATTAATTTTTCAGAAGGCATTAAACAAAAATATTTTTTAATAACATCCGCTGGTATTGGTGGTTCATTACGACAATTTCTTGGATGTATATTATTTGACTGTCCTCTACCGGTTTTAGTTTTACTTGGCCATAATCCATGAACAACAAAACCAAATACATGTTGACATTGAAATAGATTATGTGAATTTTGTTTTCCACCACAAAATGTTGGAGACCAAGAAAGACTTAATTGAAAATAATCTACTGAACTATCTGTATTACGAAATTCCTTGCTATTCTTTGTATAATCATAATCATAATTGGTTTGATATTGTTTTGGTCGAGGACATGCATCAGGATGAACTACTCGATGTTCACTACGACGAACAAGATAAATAATTGTACCGACAATTAAAAATATTAAAAGACCAGTAACGATAAAAATTATTAAACAACGTATACGATTATTCGTCATGTTCTTTGTAAAATAATGCCAATATCCAGAAAGATTATTTATCTTATATACTAAAAGAGAAAAGAGAAATTTTGTTTACATATATATAGATATGTATTTGTATGTGGTATAATCTGTTATTCATATTCGTCTATTTATAAGTACATGTGGTAAAAGGAAGGACAGCAATGCTTTTTACAGAAAGTATTTTGATAAATAAGTATTCTATGTCTCATTAATATCAGATAATTTAAAGACAAGATTTTAAATAAAATATTTAATTAATTGATCGTGTTTGTATAATTGATTTAATCGTATCAATTGTTAATAAAATGAATTTAGAAAACTATAAAAAAGATTAGGTTAATTTAGATACTCATGAACTTTGTAAAAATCGTCATATCCCTATAGATCACCAATATATTACATAGTAGACCAATTAGGACATAAACAAGAAGACTAACCTTATTATAATATAATATCTTTTGGATGCAATGATATCTGCCTTTGATTGAAAACGATCAAGTTGTATATCTATAAGTTTTGTGTATTGATATTGTTCTTTCCAAATGATTTCTTCTTTGATAATACTAAAAATATACATATGAATATATATCATTGCTAAATTATAATCTATTGAAATGAAATTAGAAAAATGATTCTCAAGTTAAAACCTAGAATGAATGGGATAACCAAGGATATTTCTAAATAAATGCGGAAATTTTGGATTTTATCCGAGAGTTATATGTACTACAAAAAGTGTATGAGACAGGTGAGTTATCCTAGCATGTCTGGGTATCAGAATTATAATGGAAAATCTTTTCTATAGGCATGATGTCTATTGCCTGTACCCATTTGATAGAATATAAAATCGAATACTGCTCAGATTTAGACTCTTAGCCTTGAGTTACTCAAGGAAAAATATTTTTTCCGTAACTTGATTTTTATTGATTATTGCTCAACCAATGGAATTTCGTGACAAATGGAGTTCAGATTCGAGTTCTCCACTCAAGAAAACGTTGAAGTAGCATATTTGTAATCGGAAGATAGAGGTCTAATTCTGACTCTGGTATCTTCAAAACTCGACCGAGATATTCATGAAACTAAACTGTACAGAAAATTTCATCACGATCTGCTACTCCTTTCGAAAACTATCGTGTATACGACTGAACGGTTCTAGTAGTGTACTCTCTTTTTGAGTATACTAAAAAGAAAAACAAGGACACGTTTTCTTTATTGTATTTTTTTTATTATCTGAAAAGAAAAAATAGAATACATTCTATCGAGGGTCACATTCTACTGATATTATACGGTATTTTTTTATCTCAAGGCTAATAAAGTACTCTGCATTCTATCGGTAAATATTGGTATTATCAAGTGAATTGAATAGTAGTCTACATGATATAATAATCGATTATCAGAAAGTTATCAGTACAATATTGACTTGTTAAATAATCATTCTATAATTCTAACGAAAATGAAGTAAGTTAAGCAAACTTTCACAAGCTGCGATATCCGTCACTACGATGTTACTAATTTATTATGTTTATTTCCTAAGTCGAAGGAGTAGAAGCTGAAAATGAGAAGTCATCTAGACTGATTTTTTGTTTATCTTCAACATCGTTCGAAATGATTGACAAACCATTACTCGTATAATATAAACATATAGTTGAGATTAACAAGTTTTTCACATCTTATAAATAATCTACTTTGATTACATTGATATATAATATCAGCTGTGAAGATAAGTTTTTAGTTTTATCTATTACTACACTTAACGAATCTATTGAAAATATAGTTGTATGTCTATTCTATCGGTCTAGTGTCAAGCGAATCCGATCGTGATAAATGTCACCTACCGAGGATTACTCATTTCGATGTGACTAATTTTATGTCCTTGGCAATTAAAGAAAATATTATTTATATACGAATTAACTATACGATTCTATGTAGTTAAAAACAGTAGCACAAAAGATTGACATACTACGATTTGTCAAAACATATTTATATACAAGTTTAATCAAAATATGGTTACCTGATGAAATTATAAACATAATTTCAAATAAAATAATCATGTCATATTATACAATTTCTTCTTTGTTTGTATTCAAAGAATAGCTCTTTGTGATAAATGAAATAAAATTTTTTTCTAATATTAGAAAAAGAACGAATTGAATTTATGAATATTTCTATGCGCTTTATCTGTTCTTGAAAAAAATAATATTTCCAAATTATTTTTACTATTCAATTAAAATAAAGCGACATCTAACAAATATTTTATTTCAATTAAAATATATTTCATTCCTACAAAAATTCAAATTCAAGTCTATTACATTAATAATATATCTAACCACGTAATCAAATACAATGCAAATCTATCATTCTCTTCACTAGACAAACGAAATATATATACTAGAAAAGTTTTACAATCATCATAACCAATTCAAACATCTCTTCCAAAACAAAATTAGATAAACAACGTCTAGGTCATCAACATCATGTATCTTGCATAGCTGTGAACCTTGACATCGTAGAAAAAGACTGCATATAGTCATACGTAGTTACAAAAGAAAGGGCGTAGATATATATCGATAAACGAAAAGTACGAAAGAGAAAGAAGAAAAAAAAAAGGCAAGTATATTTTATCACTGTTAAAGGAAAGAAGAAGAAGAAGAGGCACATAATATAAACAGAACATATAAATGTTGAAAGAAAAAGAAAGAGAGAAAAAATAGAAATCAGTTGAAACGTGCATGATGGAGTCACCAACAATAGAATCGGATAACGATGATGAACCACTTTTAAATACACAAAATAAAAATTTATCAAATAATCGTAAATGTCCAACATGTCAAGGACAAGGTTTTGTACTACAATCATCCGGTCTTGTTGCTTTAATTCCAGTTGATGATGATCGACTTAAACGACGACATACATTTCGATGGATTATACTTACCATTGTTTTTTGTACGCTTATTGCTATCGCTGTTATTGCTATTCTTCTTCCACGTTCTGTACATTTATCATTACAAAATCCTATTGTGATCGATGCTACTAATGATACATTTAGAAATACGACTAATTTTCATATGAATTTTTATCATTATACAATTATTAAATCAGATAATTGGGTACCAATACGTTTGATTAATTTAACAACATCAGTTGAACATCAACTTATAACAATTAGTCCTGATGCTGAAATATCTTATGGAACTAAAATGTTTTTACGACCATTAGGAACAATTTCTTCAAATTTAACAGTTCAACTTGATTTTGATACAAATACAATGGCTTATCGTGTATGTCGTGGTGTATTTCGACAAATGCTTATGTTTAAATTACAAACAACATTAATGTATGCTGATTTTCTTCTCGATAGAATTCAAACAGCAAATGATATTTCTTATCAATATGTCCTATGTAACAGAGGTGAATGGAAACCGGAGAAAACATATTTTCATCAATAAGATAGATACAAATTTTTGATTTTGAAATAAATACGTACTAAAAGTCTTATCAGATATTCAATGAATATGTGCTAATACGTTCATTTTTTATTTCAAGAAAAAAAAGCAATGAAAAAATTTTCTCCTCATTCTAAATAAACTGTTTACTCATAATCTCTAATGATTACTAATGACAACAAAATCAAAAAGATTCCTTTTTAACGATCATAGAAAAAAAATCTCCATCTTTCATTGAAGTACATAACACTTACATTTTATCAATAGATATGTATATGTATATGTCTTACTGGAATGTAAACACGATAACAAAGCATGCACACTGATTAAACTACAATATAATAATCGTAATCGATGTTTTTCAAATGATATAATAATAATATCAAAGAAAAAATATTGCGTACTCATAATAGCTCAAATAATATTAGCGTTAAGAGATGATTCGAAATATTTCTAACTGATTTTTATTAGAAATATGAACGAGTTAAATAGAAACTGATATGACATTTAAATCTTTTTGTTTTTACTCTTATATTTCGTAAGTAAATCATCAATGAACTATAAATTCTTTAAAGGTCAAAAAATCATTTACGATCAATATTGATGATTATGTTGAAATATCTGGAACATACAGTACCACTATATAAAAATAAGACATAGTCGCAATCCTGTCTTATTTACAAAAGTTTAACAGCAGAAAAAATGAATGCGATAGTATTGAATTTTATTGCTAAGAGTACATAACGTATGGAGAGGCGTAGAACATGACGAAAAAGAAATGTGCAATGAAGCAAAACATTAATCATAATATACGTATTCACGTGTGCAAGATACACTAATATGTTCGTAGGCTACTATGGTCGTCGTCGTTTGAAAACATTATTTATTTCATTTGTCACATCGTTAATCTTAGTTTTTATTGTTAAGAAATTTATATTTTCATCACATTCTGATCATGTAAATATTCGAAAACAAGTATCTAAAAAAAATATATCAAAATCGAATGAAACATTAAAGCAAAGAACTCTTGCACCTCTATTACAATCCGCAGAAGATAAATCAACAGATTTTTTATCATCATTTAAATTTACCAATTCACCTTATTTAGATTTATCACCTGAATTACCTCTCATTATACCTATTATAGTCTTATCTAAAGCATCAAATATTGAAATACGTGATGCTATACGACGAACATGGGGTACTGATCGATTATATGCAAATACAACAATACAATATAAAGTTTTTTTTCTTGTTGGTATCGATGATTCATTACTAAAACGTATTCAATCCGAACAAATTCTTTTTGATGATGTTATTCAAGTTTCTGTATCTGATCTATCTTCATTTGTTGCATATAAAGAATTTTCTGCAATGTTATGGGTACGAAAATATTTACCAAATGCTCCATATTATATTAAAAGTGAAGATGATATTATTATGAATATAAATGCTGTTATAAATAAATTATTACCAACAATAGAACCTTATATGAAAAAAAGTTTAATTGTTGGTTGGTTTGCTCGAGAACATTCTGTTGATAGAGGTAGTTATCAAAAATTTATTAATGCTGCTATACCACCATTAACTATTGATTTAAATTATGCAATGAATTCATTATATATCATCACATCAGAAGCTTGTGATCATATGCTTGATTTTATGAATAAAGTCAATAATATTATGTATCCAGGTGATCCATTTATTACGGGTATTCTTCGAGAAGCTGCACATATTGAAATAAAAAATTTAGCAAAATCAACAGAATATTTTCGATATGAAACAGGTAATGGTGCATGTAATGAAGCATTTGAAACAAATCCAAAATTATTATTTTGTACAACAATCTCATCATCATTATCATCAAAATCTAGTACAACTCATTCAGTATCAGAATATTTTGAAGTATGGAATACACTTCTGAATCAAAATCAGATACTTATCAATAATATAAAACAATAATTAAACAAACAGATAGTTCATTTTTTTTTAAATTATTCTAATAAAAAAAATATTTCTTAAATTTTATTATAGTTAACTTAACCCTTTCTTTCCCATGGCTAAAGTTTAAGATCTGAAACCGAAATTAGTCCATCATTGTGTGGGTGGGGGTGTGAGTGATGCGTTAAGACTCGTTTATAGTACAGCTCCATCGTATAGCATAGCATAGTACATTTGTCTGAGCCACAGATACAAAGTTTTATGAAGAGTGCAATGCTCAAATTATTGATATAAAATCTGCGATAGATGTGCCTTAGTTTGGTAGAAAAAATAGTTAATATATTCCTTGTAGATTAAGCAAACGAAACTTGTTTAGGTGCCATTGGGAAAGAAAGGGTTAAGAATATTTTATGTACTATGATTAGTGAATTATTTTGTATCTATTTTTCATAATATCTATAGGCGTTGATGGTCTTTATCTCGTTTAGTACGATTTGATGATAGATTTAGTTTCCTCTTTAGACTATCTTTGAATTATATATAATTAACTAATCATATACATAATATCAACCAAGAATGCTTGAAATTGATTGCATATCTATTGCTTTTATTATTATTATTATCTAAGGAAAAACGTGTTTAGGTAAAATTTTATAGAGATATATTTTGAATAGAAAATAATTTTCATAGTTTTCTTTAGGTAGTGGATTTAGTGGAGTATCTTTTTTTGAATTATGAATATGATTTACTTGAAAGATCATATCCATCATTAGATATTTATATACATTCAAATAAAGATATATATATATATATGTAGAGAAAGAAAATACAGAAACACACAACAATAATACATAATAATAAAAATTAAACTTCAATAACTTCTTGTTCAGCAAGTCGTGGTCTCATCATTGATGATGATTCATTTGCTGTAGAAATCGATGAAAATGTTTTTAAAGTTCGCGTTGTTGTATTTAACGATGATAATGACGAATCAGGTTGTGTTGATGTTGATGATGATGAAAAATAAGTTACAGTCATTAGTTGACCATCAGATGAAAGATTAACATTCGATGGATTTGTGAATGGAAGAAAACGTTGTTGATCTATATTTAATGACGTTGATTCATAATCATTACTAAGATTATGAGGATAAGATGAAGATGATGGAGATGCACTGGAATGAATAATATCTCCAATTATATCATATGCATTATTATTAGATCTTAATGCAAATGTTTTAAATTCATTTGAATGTTTTTTTATTGATGAACAATTTGGATTTATTTGACATAATAATCGCTAAAAATAAATAAGTGTTTAATTATCATATATACATCAATATCCTCCGGCATTTAAACGACTTAATCGATTGATGACATATAGAGACGATGCTATATATATATATATTATAAAAGAAATCTATCTTCTTAGGAGTTTCTACTGAATAGATATTTGTTGCGATTACATGTAAATTTAATTATTCTAGCTGCCAAAAACGAGACACGAACTTTTTGATGACATTAAATAGATAATTGAATTTATGTTGTACATTCTTTCTTTCTTTTCTATTGCTCGTTCACACTTGAGAAACTAGAGAGCAGTTTTTTTTTATTTTATTTCTTTTTTCTCATCATATTCGCTTCGTTATCATTTGACATTTCTTATTAAATGGAAAAAGACGCTATTTAAAAGACAGTTTTTTTAATTAAAAAATGTGCTCGTTACCATGCTGTCATCAATAGTAACGATGACATTGGGTATGAGTCAATGCATCGTTGAACAATCGTCAATAGAGAAAGCAAAGTAGCATAGGAGAATAAACTATTCATATAAATTTATACATGCATCATCTGTTCTTTTCTACTCATTGTTTTTTTTACCTGTTGTTGTTCATCATCACCATCAATAGAATGATTAATATTTTCATCGTGAATTAATCTGTTATTACCAGTCATAATCAATGATGATGTCAATGATTGTTCACCAGGACCATTTGCAAGTAACGGTAATTGTGTTTCAGTTGGACTTTGAAGACGATAAAGTAAATTTGTATCATGTCTATGATGATTTCGTAATTTTTTTCTATGACGAGAATTTGATGAAAGATAAATTAATTTTATTGAAATTAATCCAACAATAATACCAATTGATAATAAAATAAAAATAAGTATAACATTAAGTAATGTTAAATCAAAATATGAATGTTTATGTTGAGATATAAAATGAAGTGCATCTAAATATTCACGTGCTGTATCTATAGCAACAGTTTGATTTGTTTCATTTGTACCTGTTGTTAAAACTAATTCAATATATCGAATACATGATTGATCAATTGTTTCATTAATAAGATCACGAAGACGAAATTGAAGCACATAATATTCACGTTCAGGTAATATATGTGCATATAATAAAAATTCATTATAATCAATTCGTTCAATATGAAATATATCCTTAAAATTAAGTAATTCTATTAAACATGTATCATTATCACCATCATATAAATCTAAATAAAATTGATTCAATTTTTCACTTGAATTATTCGACCAAAGATCATTATTAAAAAATAAAACTGTCGAATTATTAATTAATTCCGGACAAAAATCATTTCGATTTAATATTTTAATAATAACAGGTACACTTGTATTAAGACCATCATGATCACTAGCTATAATTAAAAATTGATAAATTGAACGTTGTTCATAATCAATTCCTAGAGAAGAATAAATAAATTTATCTATTTGTCATTCTTATGAAATATATGTTTACCAACAGATGTTGCTTTTAGATATAATGTTCCATTTGATGTCAATTCAAATGGCCATTCATCAGTCATTGTTGTCTCATTATTTACTAATGTATAAGATAATTCACTATAATATTCGTCAGCATCTATTGCATGAACATGACCGATTGGTGAAAGATTAGACCATGTTTCTGGTATTTCAAATACATATTCTGATAGATCAAATATTGGATAATTATCATTTATATCAATTATATTAATAAAACAACGAACTGTTGATGATAAAGGTTGAGGTTGACCATGATCGAATGCAGTTATATCAAATTCATATGTTGATGTTTCTTCTCGATCAAGTGTACTAATTAAATATAATTCACCTGTTGTTGAATTTAATGAGAATATTGTTTGATTACTTATATGATATTCAATTTGACTATTTAATGTATTATTTTCATCATTATCTATTGCATGAAAATATAAAATTGTTGTATTTATAGGTGTTGTTTCTGTTATATTTATTGAATAAAAATCTTTATCAAATTTAGGTGAATTATCATTTTCATCCAAAATAATTAATGTAAAATTTAATGTATTGGATAATGATGGTATACCATGATCATGTGCTGTAAGATAGATATTATATTGTGATTGTTCTTCACGATCAAATATTCTTGATGTAAACATGAGAAAAGCTTCGTTATTAAATAATTTTTGTATAGAAATCGATTCATTACTCTCAAGTGACCAACTTATACGACCGTTATTACCTTGATCAAGATCACTAATTGAGACATGACCCTATTAAAAAGACAAAAGATTGTTGTAATTAATTCTTTCTTTTTCTTTTTTTTTTAAATAAATCTTTAAAACCTTTAGGGTTGAAAATAATTCATGCAAACATGCATATAAAAATGTTTCTATTGGGAATTACAAACGTATGAAAAAAGATTAGCCTTAAATCAAGGTTAAAGGTGTCAAAAAACGAAAGACTCTTTTTGTTTTAATCACGCATAGTCAGATAAGATTACTTACGAGAAATGTTCCGTTTGGAGTATTTTCACGAATTTTAATAATACTACTATTTATTACATGTCCAACACCTGCAATTTTATCATCATTGAATGTAGGTGCAATCAATGGATAATTATCATTTTCATCTTTGACATCAACATAGACCATAGCAAATGCTGGTACTGAACCTTGTTGTGGTCCATTATCTTGTGCTTTTATTTTAATTCGATAGGATTTTTCTTTTTCATAATCAAGATGTTTACCAAGACGTATTTCACCTGTATCTTTTGATAATAGAAATGTTCCATTTGATGGTGGATCTAATGAAACAATTGTATAATCAATTAGACCATTGAGACCAGTATCACCATCTAATGCATGTACACGTGCAACAAGTGAACCAGTTGATATTGATTCACTTAAAAGTACATGAATATCTGAATGGTCAAATGCTGGTGACATATCATTAACATCAAGAATATTTATATGAATATTTAAACGACCTATAAGTGCTTGTGGTTGTCCACCATCATAGGCTTGTATAACATATTCTAATGAATCATATAATTCTCGATCAAGTATTTTAATAAGACGTAATGCAAGTAAATCGTTTTTCTTTGAATATTCAATTTGAAATGCTTTAAGAATTCTATTTGTTGAATTATCTTCTAAAAGATGATAACCTTGTATAGAATTATTTCCATAATCAATATCAATAGCTATATCAATTGGAATTAAATAGCCAATAGGTACATTTTCTAAAACATCAATAACGATTGCTGTTTTAGGAAATTGTGGTGAATGATCATTGCGATCATCAATTATAATAGATAAATCATTAAAATATATTTGTCCCATATTCACACATAAAACTTCAAGTGTTATTGCACATTTTGAACATGAACATACATGACGAAGACAAAAATCATCTCGGTCAATTAATTTTTTTGTTGTTACACGTCCCGTATATGGATCAATAAGAAAAAAATCATTGGAATTTTTTTGACTATCAACAAAACGATATGTACCAGCATTATTTGCTGTTTTACAACCATCAGTTGAAAATGTATATATGGATGTACCAATGGGTAAATCTTCCATAATATGTATAGAATCTTTTGGTTTACCAGATACCAAATAAATAATATTAATAAAAAATAAAATTGGTAACATTTTGTATAGATGATTACTTGGCTAATATAAACGTACAAATATAATTGTCATGCTGGACTACTGTTTGTATGTGAACAGGAACAATCTGTAATAGCAAAAGAAGAAGGATTTCCTCATTAATATACGACATATTGAACATGCATACATATAGACAGAAGAGAGAGGCAGAGAGACAGAGAGACGAGAGAGAAGGAGAAAACGCGCAATAAGTATAAGAGAAGAGAATTAACACTTAGTCTCATAGTGGTACCATCGTGAAGGAGAAGGAGGAGAAAAAGAAGAAAAACTATTCTCGTTGAGCTTTTTTTTCCCCTTCTTTTTCTGATAAGAAGAGAGAAAAGAGGAAGGACGTGTACACTATAACTAACTGACCGGTGTCTTGAAAAAATAAGCTATTCTACTAGCTAGATCTAATGGCCGACTGATTACATCCTGTTGCATTTTTTTGTCAACTACTCTTATTATTAAACTTACCTTACCTTTAACTTTACTGTTTTTTTTTGTTCCTCCGTTTTTTTTGCCTTCGTTCATTTGATTCATCTTCAAACGGAAACCGAATATGAACAAAAAAAGAAAATGAGAGTGCACTCACACGAGTCACCACTAAGTGCTCTATGAAGGACATAGTCAATTTTTTTAAAATAGAATGAATGTCTACGTGTATTTATATATAAATATATATGTATTCATATTTGTATTTATAAATGTTAAATAAGTAGACGATGATTGGCATAATACAATCAATGTAACAAGCATGAGAATAAAATCATACCTGTATGAAACGAAGAGATACCAGACTATATGGTCATTTGAGTGTGTAATGTAGACTTATGTCTGTATATTGTTTATTTTGTATTTCTTTTTATTATTATTATTATTATTATGTATAAGTAACTTGTGATCATCAATTGAATTGTTTCAAGAGTGGACATACAACAGATAGATTGTATGATTGAGAACAACGATTATCATCGTTCATAGAAATTGTTCAATGCATCAAATCGTAGCAATTGGCACTTGAAAAAGAGACATACACCAAAGAGTATCGATCTCTCTATGACAATTCCTCTTGAGATGATTACGTAAAACAGACAAGAGAAAGAAGAAAAAAAGAAATCTTCAACAAGGATAATTGCTGGTCAGACCATGTATGATGCAAGAATATGAAATAAAAAAAAAATCAATGTAATTTTCATATGCTCATGTATGAGCACATTTTCTCTTTTTGTCTTTATAATGCAAGTGAATACCTTGATTTTTATCTGATAGTATGCATATGTCTTCATTTGTAAATTTAAGACAATGACATGAATGCCTTCACATAATGATGCAAACATCAGAATGTATATTGATATATATATATATAAAGAGAGAAAGGAATTGTGATCAATGTCTTTTGTCCATCAAAAAAAAAACTACTGAATAATGCTTGTAAAAACATTCGCAGCAGTAGCAATGATGGTAACGCCATAATTGTTATTGCGACTGTTTGTTCAATTGTGTCTGTTAGTTTCATCCTTTACACATCATGATAGTTCATTCATTTTTTTTTATGCTATAGCATATCGAGCAATGTCAGATACATGACGTTAATGATGTGTTTTCACAGAATCGCTTGCATTCGTTAATATTACCATCGTTTATCTTTCATACTGATATATAGCTTAGTCAGTTCTAATTACGACATAACTCGCTCACGGGTGGTGCAACAGATGTTATGAACACATACCCATCAATGAAGGACAAAATAGGGAAAAGATTTTCTTTTCCTCTCTTTTTTTTTGGTATTGTATATATACATATATAAGTGTTTGTCTAGCGATTGAAAATTATGAGCCACTTGCTTTATGTACAATTAAATGTTCAACAACTTATACAAGAGAATCGTTTATAATACTTTTACTTGTTTCATATGTATATATATTTTCTTTTTTTTTTCATCATATCAATATACTTCACACTTGCTTGCTTATATATCATATGTATATATACAAATCATAATTCTTCGTCTTCTGACAGCTCAGCAGTCGACAAATGAGTGAAAATGAACATCAATGATATTCAATCTTATGTAATCCATATTTGTGTTCGACATTTTTTATCTATCTATATATAGAACAAAAAGTGAAGAAATTATTTATATCTTGCTGAGTTCATACTCGATGTCAGTCACATGAACACCGGAATGTTTCATTAGATTGAATGACAAAAGGCTTTTTAGTTTATTCGACATTGAACTTTTTTTCTTTTTTTCTTCTTGTCTATCAAACGAGAAGATTAGTCTCGACTAAGTAATTGCTTGTATAGTCAATACCGTTTATGAAGTCGTACATATACGTTCATTTCCTGTCAACGTTTTTTTTTTCTGTACAGAATAGAAACACCGGGTAGTCGCTAACGGCAATTAACACAAATGGAAATGATTATTAAATGAGATATTAAAGACAAAAGAAGAATGTGAACTTTTTTTTTCAAACAAATTGTACAAAACTCGTAAATAAATATTCATATGTCTTTTGACTTAATTGTAAAAAGTAGTAGTATACTCTTCCAATCAATTTAATAATAATAATGGTTCAGTTTTCACATTAAAATAATGAATGACAGTTGAACTAAAAGTAAAATTCTTACGCAATATAATCATTATATTCAATTCAATCAAATGTACTGTTAAAAGCAAATAATTTTACTCTTTATCGTATTATATATGCTAAGAATAGTTTGAATGACAAATCGGACTTCAGATAGTCTGCTTGACTAAAAATGATGTCCTTGTCACTGATTATTTTATAGAAGATCAAATTACTAAAAGCAATTAGTTCTCGTCTGTTTTCTTTTCGTATCTTTATATAAGTTAGATATACTATCATGTGCTAGATAACATTTTGCTTAAATGAAAGAAATAATTGAATATCGAAAATTAAGCTTTTATTGAAAATCATAAGTACACATATTTTCAATAATTCTTCATTCTATTGTTATCTTATTTTTATTTCACATGACTTTTTTTTCTGCCTTATATTTATTGTTTACATAAGATACATTTTTCTTAAAAATTTTTCTATGTTGAATACAAAATTCAACATATGATATAATCAATATTTTGATTAACGACGATAACTTTTTTGGTAATTTCGACTAGATGAACTAACAGGTGAACGAGATCTATTACAATAAAAAAAAATAATAATCATTTTTCTATTGAATTTCATTTTGAAACTACCTTGATCGTCGTCGTTCATAATAATCATCAGTTCGTCTTGAACTACGTGGTGAATTTGAACGTTTACGATTATTTGACGAAGATGCCTTATCATATCGACTACTAAATAATTTCAGATAAATGTAAAAAAGAAATAGTTTTGAGAAAAGTATTTACGATTTTTTATCATTCGATTTTCGACTTTCTGATGAATTTGAACGTGAACGTCTAAAATTATGATATTAATTTACAAAATAAAATAAATATGAATTACTTACGAATATTGTCTTTCACGACTAGTAGATGATTTTTTATTACTACTTGATGAACTTGCTTGATGATGATTTTTAGTATCGTCTTCATCATTATCATCGCTATCTAATGCATACTACAAAACAAATTATATTTTTAAGATTAATTTTTCATTAAAATCTTTTATATTTAAACCTTTTTAGCATCAAAACCATCATCATCATCATCGTCGTCATCTTCTTCCTCCTCGTCTTCCCCATCATTTTCCTAAGAAAAAAACGTATATTTTAGTATGGTACATTCGTAGATGAGTAGCATTAAAGAATTTCTAAATACTCACTGTACGAGTATTACCTCTCCCAACGATCGAGACTTCGAATGACTTATACTTTGTTTTTTACCATTAGAATTTTCCTCATCATCATCAGAATCTCTTGTTGTATTACGAAATTTCTTTTTCTTACGTCCAAACTAAAATAAAAATACTTAAGAATACTTATATATCAAATATAAAATTATTTACTTCATCATATTCGCCATCAGATTCTTGATTTTTTTCATTATATTGAACATTATCACGTTCATTATATCCACCACCAGCACCTTTAAATTTTAAATTTAAGTTTTTTTTCTTATAAAAATCAATTTCATACCAGTTCGTGCTTCAGCTTTTTGAAATTTAGGCATATTACACATATTACAAGTTGATCGACGTGCCCAATTGATATTTCCACAACTAAAAACAAAGCAAATCCATTTAAAATAAAAATATTGCAGTAAAAATATTAACCTTTTACACATCCAGTCTTCAGGCGAAAAAAGACCACCACTTTTTTCAGCAACTTTTTTACCAATAGATGACAAATCCTTTGAACTTGATTTTTTATGAGGTTTGCTAGGTGCTAGATTTAATAGATAAATAAATGTGATTGTTTTTTCTTCCAAATATTATCTAAACTTACAACGATGGGAACTACTACTACTATCTTCATTATGACTATTTCGTCTTTCACGAGATGATCGAACGTGAGGTTCATCATCATCTCGGTTGTTATCGCCGTGATCGCTCATATTTATGTTTTATTGTTTTGAATGAAACTAACTATTTATTTATTTGTATGAATGAAGAACAAATGACGATTGATAATTCGTTGTGTTTCAAACACAAATCATAATGGAGTGTCAAATTATAATGATTATTTTGAAAATATTTTTTTCTTGATTAAATTTTATACAATTATAATTAGACCATTTAATTATTTGTAATATAGTTTTATGTAGGTTGTATACTAGAGCCATCTATCGTAAATTTGGGGTGTATGAGCACCAAACCGTTTATGACACTGTTGCATATACAAGGAAAAGTGGAGAGAGGATCGGATACGAAAGGTGCTTAAATTTAATCATTCTGCAGCGGGAATTGTAACAAAACAGGCGGATTTGGAATACTACATAGTAGAAGTTGTTCTATCTCAGATATGCATGGCGGGATATGTTGTGATTGTAGAAGAAAAATTTCGAGAACAACTCTTTTTAAACCCCTGTCGATCAGAGGGCCGATCCATATACATAAATGAACTGCATCAGATGGAGAAGATATCATAGAAGCCGAATGATAGCTTGTATTATAAGAGAGGTCATAATGTTTCATTGTTTAGACATAACTTTTGAAATTCACATTATTCTTGAAAATTCTTAGAGTTAGAAGCTAAGTGTTATTTTATTAAACAAAGTGTACCGCAGCGTGTATTTTGAGAGGAGCAAATGTTCTTCTGTACATATTTATTATGTTTGGTACACTTGCTATTAGAAACACTGTATATGAGACGTTCAATTCAATTATAATTAAGCTCAAAGCCAGTCTATGTTATTAATATATGATAATAGAAGAATAGTATACACATAAGACGTAAATAATAGATAAAATGAAAATGGTTGAATAAAGAGGAAATGCAAAAATATATTAGTAGAACATGTAATTGTACTTTTATTTTTAAGTACTTCTAGTAATTATCAAAGTCATTCACGACATGATCTTCTTTCGTTATTTTGTATTGAATATATAATCATATAAAGTAGTATTATTAGAGTAACGGAAATAATAACTTTCATTTCCTCACTTCACTTTTATGAGAAAATTCAATAACAAAGAAATAAATCTAGAGTAATTCCTCTATGATTTAAGCTTATTAACTTCATAATAGAAATATAAGATTAAGTCTTTTCTATTCTATTTTTAATCTATAAGTAATTCATTAATGTTAATCAAACAAAAAACTTTCTCAACTTTTTGTAGATCGTAAAATAAAATATTTTCATTATCTAACCATCTATTTATAAATTTTATTTTTTTTTGTAAAAATAATTCTCCTTCGTTTTTACTTTTATGATATAAATGTTTATTTGTAAAAAAGAAAAGAAACTCTCAGTTCATCAATCATCTTTATTCATCAATATCACGTGTAAGATCAATTTTTTGAACATTTGCTGGTAGAAAATGTCCATCATCATGTCGTTGATGTCCACGAATACCACTTAAATAAACTTTTGGTTGTGGTACATTTGTATAATTATCACGTTTTGTTTGTATATATTGATCTTTTGGTAAATAAACTTGTGTAGTATTTTCTCGTCGAAAATTACTTGTATTTGTTTGTATAGATTTTGTTAAACGTCGTCTTAAATTAGCTAATTTTATAGCTTTACGTCTTAATTCCCATTCATTCCATTCATAATCTTTAACAATATTTTTCTCATGAAAATGTGTATCAGTTTGTGAACCACAATCAGCTTTTAAATGTGGTTTAGATGATGATTGTGTTAAATCACCATAGGGTGCAACATTTGAAAAATGTGTATGTAAATCAAGTAATTGAATAAGTTCAGCATTTAATTTGGCATTATTTGCAATTGATTCAATATATGTTGCAGGTTTTCGACAAAATAAAATCGCATCTTTCGGTTCACTAAAGGAATAGAAATGATCATTTATTTGTACAATACCAATACGTGGATCACCATGAATTAATTTAAAATCATTTAAAGCTAAATGATACGCACAAAAACCTAAAAAATAAAGATAATGTATTACTATACATAAACTTTCCAATAAGTAAAATCTGAAAAGATAGTCTCAATATTTTTTTGTCTTGTCTTTGATCAGCTTACTGTTTTATTACCTTTATACATTAATGGTAATTTATCAAAATTTTTTGTTGTTTCAGAATAATACCAAGTTCCTTCCGCATTTCGTTCTTCTGGTTGTACAACATTACCATTATTATTAACTTGTAAACGTTGTTGATCAGTTACAATTGATACTTTCGATAAATATTTTCTTACGGATTCATCAGATAATAAATCTTTAGTATTAAGTGTATAGGGTTCAAGACTGTATACTAAAAGAAATTTTGAAGAAAAAACAACAAATAAAAGCGATATAATTCTAATAAATTTTCATTACATATATTCGAAAGTACACTGAGTAAGACCATTTCATCTTGAAAACCAAACCATATAACAGCTAAGTGCATAAATTGAGGATACACTTGTGCTGTAGGTACTCTAGAATTTATATAAAAGAATTATTCATGAAGAATATCGAATATATATAAATATGCCGATAAGAACTTTTTTGGTGTATCACTAATGAAAAATTCTTCAATAGGAAACGCGCAGTACAGTAAAATAATAAGGTTCTCTATGAAAATATTCTCCGTGACATCATATTTTTTACTTAACAAGACTTCTCTCTCCGTTCTTTTGCTAGTTTATAGAATATTGACGAAGGCAATTAAAGATTTTAAGATATTTATATTACTAACGCTGTTCGATTTTGTATAGTTGTTTTAAGTTGATCTAAACGTGTTTTAAATTGTGATAATAATTCATCTACTTCACGTGCACTTTGTCGTGCATCATTTGAAAGTGTATTAAGATAAAGTTCAAATTGTCGAGAATTAATCATTGCTTCTTGAATTTTTTGTTTAGTTGCATCACTACCTAATTGTTTTTGTGATAATGTTGTCATTGTATCTAATACAGCAATAAATTTCTCGCTTGAATCTACAGCATCATCTGTTTGTTGTTGAATTTCTTTTAAAGTTGCTGGTATAGCTTCATTTAATATAGCTTTAAAAAAAAAGTAAAATAGAAAGAAAAAAAAAGGTTTAAATTTTATTTTATTTACTTGGTAAATTATCAATTCCTTCGCCACCTTTACCACATTCTTTATTAAATAAACGAATACCAGTAACAATTTGTGTTAATTCAATTAATTGTCGATCTTTATCTCGTTTTGATAAATTTAAAAAATTTCCTAATTCAGTTTGTGGAAAAACACTTTGTAAGGCAGCTGTGGCTTCGCGTACAACTGAAATATCTAGAAAATGAATATATTTAAATTAGTTTTTTTTCTTATAGAAAATAATAAGAAATTCAACCTGTTGGTGAACCAAGTCCAGATCGAAGTAATACACTTGAGACTATTTTTCGATAAAGTGCTTCAAGTTCATCTTTAGTTGTTGCTCGATTATCGGTTATTTCACGAGATATTGGTTGAAGGCGAGTTTCTATATTTAAAACAAAAGGAATAAAGTTGCGAATATATATTTCCTTTACCAAGTACACGTCGATGTTCAGTTAAAAATTCGTCACGTGTTGTATAATTCATATCGAAATAGACTTGCATTTTAACAGTATCAAGTGCTATGGATTTGTTATTAAGTAAACGTTTAACACATAAATCAATAAGACGTTGAACATCGTCTGATGCAAGAACACGATCAACTTGAAAATCATTTTGTGGTTCAAGTACAACAGCTTTAACAATAAATGCTACTAAAGTTTCGGATACACCTAAAATTATTTCAATATATAGAAGATTATGTTGGAAATTTTGATATCGAACCTTCTCCACGAGATGCACATTCTTGAACAATTTCTCGAATTATATTTTTAATAACACCTTCAGCTTGTATACGATTAGCATTACCGTTCATGATTCTTTTTTTGTCTAAAATATCTTATTTTAGAATGTCTCCTGTACTAATACTATATTTGAATATGAGATAAGTTGTTAATCATTTAAATGTAAACTATTTTTATTTCGACATTGGTTTTATTGCCATGAGAAACTTTATATTTTCGAATAAACCGGAAAAAAAAATAATTCATTATTTTGGTAAATTAGTACCTACTTGTGATTGTTTTGGAACAAAAAACGGAAGAATATGTTCTATTTAATGATGATAGAACGGAATACCATTTGCTACTTTTGATTAATTATTGTTTCTTAGCAACTATTTATGCACGTTTTTATCATTAGTGTATAAACACAAAAAAATTGAAATTTTTTCAATTAAACTTTCAACCATTTGATTATTATTTTAATTAATCAAATTAAATTCAATATATATAGCATAATATTAGAGGTCGCTCAAGATCAGTGAGAAAAAAAATGTGATTACATTCCTATCTATTTCGCTTTAATGATAGTATTAATAAACTATTCATAACGATGATTAAATATATGCTGCTGATATTGATAATAGAAAACGATCTGCATACCAGTCTCTCCTTTTGTTTGTCTTTTTTTTATTTGTCATTTGACGTTCTTCTGTTATTATTGTGTCTTTTTTTAGACGGGAAGATGAGATGCACGACCAAGGCAATAGTTAGTTATTGTCTTCTTTCCGTAGTATATCATTGTAGACATGAGTTAGCAAAGAAAAAGCGCAATTATATTTATCCGAATGCAAGTCTTGCTACTGTCGCACAACAAAACTCTTTTGTCAAATGATGTTCTAGCGCGAACGACGATAGATACCCGTCATTTAGTTAGGGAAAAAAAAAAGAAAAAAACAGAGAACATCGCCTAAAATAGCATACATTGGTATATCTATGTATATATGTATTCCAGCAACAAAAATCGAAATAAGATTAAGCCATAGGATATTTTGTCTTTCTAATGGAATCAAGACGATAAGGATAGAATTAGAACGAACAACTATCTGTCATTTATGTGCATGATCAAGTAGTTTTGTTTTGTATGAATGTAACCGGATCCGATATTTTTAAATAAGATCTAGCCAATTCAGTATTTATATATATATATATATATTGTAAATGTATAGAAACATTGTAAGAAAAAAAGCTAGATAGTTCAATGTTCTTTAAGGTTTGTACTTTAACTAATAACCTATAAGATAAATGGCTCCCTTGGGGTAGTAGATCGGCTGTAAAGACAGGCATAACGAATCGATTTTTCGGGAACACTAGTTTCTCTATTTATAGCCTACGCACACGCACCCTTTACTAATGATGGTGATTGTTTCTTGGCATATATATATATATATGTATGTTCTTATCATTGTAACATTGAACTATAGATTCAATCATTAGAATAAGTATGTTTCGTAAATGGAGAGAAACATACATACACATATTACATTCTTTCTTCCATTAGTTGCAGAACCGTCCGACTTTGCCCTTCTGTCATGGCTGATCTTAGATGCTATTACTGCTGTTCAAAATCGAGAAGAAGCAAAAAAATAATTAATATCGACAAATACTCTCTTTCCCTTTTTTTTCTTGTCACCAGGTTCTAATGTACGCGTGTATATATTTATATATATATATATGTTTCCTTGCTTAGTTTTTCTTCTCCCTTATTCTTTTTCTTTTTTTCCATTACAAATACTATGACTGTAGCTACTGATGTATGTGTGTATACACGCACGCTTTTTAAAGGAGAGAGAGACGACCCCCCACTCTTTCGCCTCCACGACGACCACTTCCGATACAGCGCCACCGACCGAGTTCTTCGGCTAAGAGTCTGACAAATGCGCGAGTATGCGAAGAAAGAGTCGTAAGAAAAAAAATAGATATTCGCTCTTACTTTATTGCTGCATATGTTTCCTTTATCGTGTACTAGCGCTTGCAGAAGGGAAGAGAGAGAGAGAGACAGAAACAGAGAAGTACGATGAAAGTTGTCATCACATCTAAGAGAAAGAGAAACAGAGAGAGAGAGAGAGAGTAATACAGAATCTGTATATATTTGTATTGTTGTTTGGATGTTGACCAAGCAAGTCTAAGTATAAAGTGTTGTAAGTCTTTTTTTAGTTCATTTTACAATGGCTATCTATTTTACATTGTTAGTAACGTTAATTCGAATGATGCGTAGAGGAAAGAATGAGATTGTGATTTCAATAATGAACAATGATATATTGCGTGTTACATGCAAATAAGAAAATGACAATGATACATCAGGTAGCTGCCAATAACAATTATGATTCATATAGCTTTTCTATCTATTCGAAGTAAAAATAGTCTATTTCGTGCTACATTTTGTATCATATATCTTGAGTGTCGACATTGATTTTGTCTACTAGATAAACAAAAGAAATGTAAACTACTTGCACTATACTTTCTTTTTTTTATATACGTCAGGAAGCTAGCCGGCTGTTGCCACGTACAGATCTACACTTTCACTCCGTTAGTCGATTAGGGACGAAAAAATTGGTGGAGTTGAACAAATTAGGGCGTCATCGTTATGTTCACTCGTTCAGCGTTCTAATAAAAGAGAAAGAATGACAAGGTTTTTGCACATAGAAAAAGAGTGAAGAAGAAGAAGAAGAAAACGAGTTTTCAATAACATTTTGCTCTTGTTAGATGCGTACTACTACTAAGGGGAAGAGACTATGAGTGTAAGAATCGGAAACTTCACGTTAAACAGACATCTTAAAAACAAGAGAAACACACTCGCATCTCTCTTTCAGAAAATCATCATCATCATCATCATCAACGTTTGCTCGTGCATAGTATCTCATGCGGTTCAATGTGCTTTAGGCTGTACTTATTAATATATTCGTTCATTGATTCGGAATTATCGTAAGTTACATACTTTTATAGATATATATATGTGCGTAGGTGATGAAGTACTAACAAAGACTATTCTTCTTCATAAAGTCAGTTTATTTGATACACTTGAAAGCATAATAAATCAGTATATAAAGTCGAATGTATCCTTGAGAAAAATCTTAAATAACATGACAGTCAATAGCTGTCTATCTAAATCAGATGGTGCCACTATTTGTCTTGTTATATATATCTTATATAAGAAATAAAATAGTATTTATGTCTATTTTTAGTACGATATATGACTTAGAATTATTCTATTTGTAAATATACTTAGACAACGTTTGTAAAAATGATTTATTTGATATATTTTTTAAGATAAGAATTGTTTACAAAAAAAAAAAGAAACTAACAATCAGCTGTATACAGATCAAGATTGTCGGATGTCAATAGTTTTTCTTTTCTTCTCTTTGATAATTACAATAATAAATAATGTTTATTTCTCTTAAATAGATATTTTTCTTCCTCTTCTTCTTCTTTTTCTTTTTAAAAATATAATCTCATTTTCATTTTTACGCTAGGTGTCCATATAAATAAGTAGAAAATTATATTTTAATGATCATCATCATTCTGCTTCATCAATTATTCATAGTAATTGCTAGATATTATTTTCGTTGTTTTCCGAAGCAGATAAACGCATATCTATATATAAACTTTGAGTAATCTAACGATTAATGTTTATTGTATTTAAAAAATAAAAAGAAAAAAAGAATAGTAAGAGGTTCACAGCGTTTGTTGTTCGTTCGCTTGCATATTATTCCCTAGTGAGTCTTTTCCTGTCATTAAAAGCGCGAATTAAAGAAAAAAAAATGAGATAGATAGATAGATAGATAGATGGATCGATTGCTGTTATTCGTATATTTGTGTCTAGTGAAGAAAGACAGAAATAATACATCAACACAACAACTAGTGATGATCTTTTGTCAACGCTAAGCTATGTCGTATTTAGAGATAGATACATTAGATTTTGTATGTATCTATGTGTATACCCACGCATATTACATGAAGGACGTCATTTAGCCAGAGAATGAATATCGATGTTAAGAAGAAGAAAAAAAGAAAAATACTAGAGAGAATTACAGACATAGTGGTCGTACATTGCCAAGTGCATGCGCAAAGCATCTTGCCTGCCCGTCAAATCAATCATATCTTCTTTTTCCTGTTATGCCTGTTTTAATATAGCAGTCGTTGCTGTTTGCCTGCCCTATAACCATTCATCATCATTCTATAGATGGTGGTTTAGCTGACGCGAACGCTTGTGCTTTCCTCTCTTTGGGTCGTTCTTGCTTGCCCGAACTTGGCCATGCATTCAAAATTGGCCGCTACTGCATATACACAGTAATAGAGATGCAAGAGAGATTGAAGGAAAAAGAAAAGCAGAGGAGAAGAAGAAGACGAAGAAGAAGAAAAGGAGAAGGAGAGCTTCTCCTAATTGTTGTAACAACCAGCCGACCCACGACTATATACGAAAGACGCAAACGACGAGTTTTCTTCTTTTTTTTCTTCTTTTTTTTTCTCCTTTTTTCCATTACTACTTCTTTCTCATCATATCAAATAATAGCTGTTAGATGGGCACTGAAATACGTGGAACATACCCAAATATAAAGCGAATATGACAGCATAGACAAACAATATTTAAGAATCGTCTTTTTCCTTATAATTGATTCACATGAAACTACTTAACATCATTGTCATCTATAATATCTCGTTCGTTAAACTGATATATATATATATAAAGATAGATAGATACATATATCTATATATATATATATATGTTGTCGATTCTCTTATAACAACAATAAAAGATCACAGAGACAACACAGCTATTATTTCATTGTAATAATATACACAGCAGGAAAGACATAGTAATAAACAGAAGTCTTTTTTTACTCTTGAAAAACGTAGTTAGATTTCTTCTTTTTCTTTTTGTCTTATTAGGAAAAAAAACAAGTATTAATATTATGAGAAGAACATACAAAAATTGTCGTATTGATGAGAAATAATTTTGTTGTTTTTTTTATATAATTATTATTATATTTATTGTAGATCAAGGCTTCATTTATAGCTGATTATATTATTGTATATTAATCATTTTATTTCTTCGTTGTCGTCCTCCTGTGTTCATATTCATAATTATCGACCATGCACGATGATAAGCTATGGTAAATATTTTAAATACAATAATATGCTTAAAACTTACAGTTAATTTTCTACTGCTTAAGGCAATATATATTATGTTTACTATTTGACATAATAGATCTATATATAGATAAATAAAAAACGAATATCAATATTGATTTTTGTTTTCTTCGATAAAACATGAAAATGTGCGTGTTTTCTCTAGTTCAATTTAATATAAATTCTTTGTTGATGTTATATAAGTTAACAAGCATATTATTTATTGTATTCAATCATTTTAAACGAAAGATCTATAAGATAGATAAATAAATTAGAATCATATATAGATATATAGATATATATTTGTTGAGTGCGTTTATTTTGAACAAGGATATTTTATATGCTTCCGGGCATAATGATTCGTTCTTTTTTTTAAGCAATATTTTGATTAAAAAAATCGAATTAAAGATAATATAATATTGTTGCTTTTCGTTGTAATCGAGAAAAAAAAACTTATTGAGTCATCGTCTTTTTTTCTTCTTCTTCTTCGTTTTCTATTTATATCTATATGTATATAGTAAACACAAAATATAAAAATAAAAAACACATGTACTTCATAGCTTCTATACTAATAAAATGGTATATAGAAAGAAAAATGATAATTAATAAAATAAGTGCTGTATGTATACACACATAGGACGATTCATTTTTATATGAAAGAATAAAAGATAGTTTGTGTTATTCGTTGTAATACATGGAAAAGATCGTAAAAGACACATCGACTGTTTTATAAAAAGTAATCTCCGGTATGAAGATTATATTTATCTTATTTTTTTTCTTTATCTCTTGAAAAAGGAAATAGAGAAATCATTGACGTATAAACTATCATTACTATAAAAAGAAATTTAATTCTCTTTGAACGATAAATTGAAAATATCTTTCTTCTTCTTTTTCTTTTCGAAGAGTCGACAGTGGCGTTCTCCAACAGTCGTCGAATTAGTCGACTGTCGTCGAGTTTTCAACCGACAATATATTCGAGACGTACTTCAATATTTATTTCGTGTCTATCAATTTTTTCACTACTTTCATCGGTTGCTGCTGTCCAAGTTGTCAATCAACAACAACAGCAACAGCCACAACAACAAGTTCCATCTTCATTTTCTATTATATCATCTAATGGAACAACAACAACGATATCTAATAATACTCGACAACGAATACAAACAACAATTTCATTATTATCATCAATAACAACAACAACAACAACAACAACTACTGCTAACATAAAAATAAATAATGAATTTAATAATATAACAAATAGTTCACAAACTGATCAAAATGATACTCGTAATCCTGTAATTGTAATTATTATTTTAATTATTTGTTCATTAATGTGTGCTTTAACGATAATTGGAAATCTTGTTGTTATACTTTCTGTTTGTATTGTACGAAAATTACAAACAGCATCAAATATACTTATTGTTAGTCTTGCTGTTAGTGACATTTTCGTTGGTTTATTTATTATGCCGTTGGCCATGGGTAAATCCATTAATAGCTTATGTGTATATATATATATAAACAATATATTTAATTGATTTTTCTTTTAGTGCTTGAATTAAGTCATGAGTGGATTTTAGGTTCAATTATGTGTGACATATGGACATCAACGGATGTTCTTTTATGTACTTCATCTATATTGAATTTTTTGGTTATTTCAATTGATCGTTATTTTATTATCAATCATCCATTTAAATATGCTCCTATGCGTAAAGTTAAATTATTATCATTTATGATAGCCGGTGTTTGGATACTAAGTGCACTTGTTTCTTTACCACCTATTCTAGGCTGGGGACGTATGTATCATTTACATAACTTTTTTTTTTTTTATAAAAATTGACTTACAAAAAAAAAAATAGATAATGTTACTAGAGAATAATTCTTCCAGGGATTTAATTATAAAGTAATTAAAAAACGTTAAGAATTAATATGGGATACTTGGTGTATTTATATCCAAATATAATATAAATATCTTCATATTTTCCAAGAGTTTGCATATTTGATTATTCTCAATAGAGTACATTCAATTGAGTGGAAATTTTTAAGACATCCTAGTCATCTTAAGAATTATCTATGAATAAAGATCGTATCTCGACATCTATATGTATTCATTCGTTTAGAATACTTAGGAATTCTTACGCTCAGAAGTTATTATTTTCGATATGAAGGATTTTTAAAACATTTATTCTATTTTTTCTTCACAGGTCCCTCAGAGAATCTTCCAATTTGTGAAGTAAATCCAAAATTAGAATATCAAATCTTTGCAACAATGCTTTCATTTTACATTCCCCTTATTGTTGTACTAATAATCTATGCTAACATCTATCGAACAGCACAAACAGCTATGGATACTCGATCAAGTGTTCAAATGTCTCAATTTCTAACACATAATGCTTCGTCAGCCAATTTAGGACAAAATGTAGGTGCAATATCTAAACAACAATTAAATGGAACAGGCCATTCATCACCTCAATTATATTTAAGTGCATCGAATGTAACTAATAATGATGATAATAGTTTAGCATTAGGTGGAAGACGATCAGTAAAACGTTCAATAAATAATTCACGTCAATCAAAATCATCGAGTTTTTTTACTTCAGCAGGATGTTTAGGTCGTCGTATAAGTACACCATTTAATGGTCGTTTATCGGTATTTGTTTCACGACGTACAACATTTTTTCGTCATGTTCATTTACCAAATCAAAAAGCAATACGTACACTTGGAGTTATCTTAGGAACATTTATTGTTTGTTGGCTTCCATTTATGTCATTTGCAATAATAAAACCTTTACATGAACGTATAACAGGTTTAACAAGTACTGCTCGACCATTAAATGCTCCGAAATGGATTGATTCAGTATTACTTTGGTTTGGATATTTATCATCAATGTTAAATCCAATAATTTATTCGAAATTTAATCGAGAATTTCGAACACCATTTCGTGAAATAATTTGTTGTCGTTGCTGGGGTTTGAATGAAAAAATTCGACGACAAGATTATTTAGAAAATTTATATGGAGAAAATCATTCACAACAACAACAACCACCACCACAAATTCATATAACAACATCTACAAGAAATAGCAGCAATCCTGAAGCAGCAGCCGTGTGATACGCTGTGATATACATCTAAATAAATCGAAAACAAAACAAAACAAAATAAAAACACTACGGTGAACATAGATTATGCTCACAACCGGTTTCTCTATTAAAAGAATTTATATATATATATATCAAATAATGAATCTCTTTATTTTTGTGTTTGTGTGTGTGCTTTTTATGCGATTCTCAGCATTCTGTCTTCTCATAATTGTGTATGTCTTTTTTTGTTTTGCTTTGAAACTTTTATTTTATATAAAATGAAACTGCATATAGGAAAACAAAAAGAAATATCTTATCAATGACACTACTAAAAATGCATTCTCTATGGATTCAGTATGAATCGTAGAAGTAAAGATAATTAAATGGAAAATTTTTCTTTCATCTAAATCTAATGATTGCTAATTTATAGTGATGATTGGTCTACAAGATTTATTTCTTCGATAATCGTGATAATAATCTTAGATTAATCAAATTATATATGACTTTATCTAACTTTTTAGATTCGCGGATACGTTCGAAATAGAATTCAAATATTTCTATAGCAAAAAAACTTGAGACTTATATCAATTAGTTTATGTAATTAATATTTTCTCTATTATACGAATAATCTACTATCTAAAATATATTAGCTTAATTCCTATGGGATTTTTAATATAGAACCTAATGTAACTACTTCAATTAACGAAAAGTTATAGTAATATATTGTACGATCTGTAAAATATATGCATCGACAATATGTATTTGTCACGAAAGAAGATGATAGTTATAATATTTTATAGCATATGTAGATGAATGATGAAAGACAAGCATATTAATCTCTATTCCCATTTCATGCGTCAAAATAAGAGAATAGCAGTCTATTATTCCCAATATAGAACTCAATTATGTTTTACACAAACAAGAATTCCATATAGAATAAAAATGTAACGGAATGCATCAGAACTGTCAATGTAAATTTAAATATATAGAAAACAAGATGATAGACATTTATTTTATTTAGCAAATAATTTAATAGAAATATTAACTTTATAAAAATTTCTGTCAATGTATCTTCTTTTTTTTTGTTTTGCTTGTCATTATTTCCATTTGAATTAAACTACTATATTATCCGTTGCTATTTTGAACATAGTAAAAATATGGAGAAATTTAGAATCAACATTTTTGATTATTGCTTATATTTAAGATCTATTCATAATTAGCATCTGAATATAGAAGAATGAAGAGGGGGTGTCCGTGTGAGTTAAGAGAACAACAACATCCATACCCTCAACATGTTCCATCTTCGAGAAAGATATGAATAATCAAATTCTTTTTTGTTTTCGTAACCTTGTAAAATATACCGAAGTAAAAAAATAAAAAATGTCATTGGATTTGGTTAATAATGAAACAGAAATCAAAAATTCTCATTAACTATTAAAAAAGATAAATTAGATATAAATATGGACATACACCAGCACATTGGGTATGTCTGGAAAATAATATTGAATGTTTGATTCATTATTTATAAGTGATCGTCAAACACCTATATATTTAATCGGTGATCAAATATGTTTACATTTTGCTTGTGAATATGGTCATACTGGATGTGTTTCATCATTATTACAAAATATGAATATAAAATCAATAATAATAGAAGATTTTAATGGTTATACACCTTTAGATTTAGCAATTATGAATTCATCACGTAATGATAAATGTTATGAAATTGTAAAATTATTCAGTCAATTCAATATTAATAAAAATACACAAATATTGAATCAAAATGATTATTTTATTCAATTTTGTAAAGATAAATTAAAAGTTCAAAAACGTACTACAAACAAAATGAAAGATACTTTACCAAATATACCTTGACAATACTATCGAAAAATGATTCGATAACAATAAACTCAACATAAAATTTGTTCAAATCGTTTTTTGAAATGTTCTTGACTGTATTTAAAGAGAATGAGAGTGTAGATGTTGTTGTTCTCTTACTCGACACTCTTCTGAAATGTAACAGCAGTCGTAATAAAACTAGTAGTGTAACAGTTCAAACTCGTTAACTGATGTGTTGTTTTTCAACTGATTATTTCAGTCAGGATATTGAGTATAGATGAAGTTACTACACTCACATACATCCGTAGCCTTAAGATGATATGTTTTGAAACAACAGCTACAATAATAACAATAAGGAAAACATGCTGAATAAAAAGGTTACAATATATATGTGTTTGTTTTCTTGCTTGTATCTTCGCACTTCACTGATTGGTCCAAGACTTACTAAAAATTTTAAGAGAATTTTTTTTACAGGGCTTGACTGAAGGGTTATTAAGATTGTGGAATTCAAATCTGAAGTCAGTTTTTGAAATTGTTTAAATAAATAGCTTACTGGTAGCGAAGACATATTAGATCTACAAGAAAAAGCTGAGCGAGTCTCCAGACGAGCGTTACTTGTGATATATCATCTTTTCATTCTATAGACTACTTCCTTTCGTTTTATCGAATATTCTATACAGCTCTATATTTTGATTATATAATTATCTACTAGAGGAAAAATAATATGAAATTGCTTTTAGTTTTATTATAAAGTATAGGGATCAAATATAAATTTATTTAACATTCTTATTTTACCGTAGAGTAATGAAATAAAATAGCTGATAGACGCTTTTATTTGTTACGAATAAAAATGAATAAACGAGTTTTAATCTTTCTTTCTTTGTTTGAATATTTCAGTAAAAGTAATTGACTTTTTACATATTTTTTTTGATATTACGCAACAATATTTAACAAAACATGGAATTTATATATTTATATTGTTTCACCGATAGATGTTACCTTCCTACAATGAAGAAACAAAAGAACGATGTGATATATTGTTTGTATTCTTTGAAACAAAATCATAGGAAACAATAAAACAACAAATAATATCGATGAGGTGTACTTTTGTCCCATTTGAAAGTGTAGATGAGATAGTTAGATGGATATACATATTGATATTTTCTCACATCCACACAACACCAAAATAATGATTTAGTAACAAGAAAAACCAGTTTGTAGAGGATAATAACAGCTTACCGACAAAATGTCTCCATATTCTCATTATTTCGAGATCCAATAGTTAAACTTATCTGAAATCGACTGATTATATTGGTCGTTCATTTATCCTTATATGATAATTATCTATTTCATACAAAATAAAACAATTAATACGATTGAAGTTTTGCCGAAATGCGAAAATTCCATGAAAATTGTAAGTCGAGTTAGTTCGATTGAAAAATATTTCTTAAAGGTGAGTGTGTGTGGGTTATGAGATGATAGACATCCACATCCATCTCCTTCGTTTTTCTGATATTTCTCTTCTATTATCCATTTGAATAAAACACTTTTTTGTTATCAAAAGATGCAGCGTGAAAAGCTCTACAGTTTACGTTAGATCGTCTACTTTCTAGTGATATTTTCTGTTTTCAAAATGGATAAAAAGTTTCAGTGATTAAATTTCGACAGTGCGAAAATAATCTATTATTTTAATAAAAGATGAATTTATTTTTTCTTATTTCTTCTTTTTATTATTTGTTGTTTGTAAATTGTAAAGCTTTTCATGCTGCATGTTTTGGTATATTCTTTTTTTCTAACAAAGCGAAATAATTTATATAAAAAGGGATACACAAAGACACAAAATCACATAGAACATACTGATTTGTTCTTTAATAAACTGTTGCAACTCAAAGTCACTTACATGATGTATAGTTTTTGCACTGTCATTATAGATCCTGTTTTTCAGATAATTAACTGTCAAAAACTAGGTATTTCACTTCCGTCAGATGCAATATATCATATTGATATCGGTGATAATAAATTTCATATTCATTTTATTATTAAACTCTTTAGATAATGAGAAAATAATGCCTTTCTCATTTCACCTATGTTTAACTTAGTTATCAGAATAATTATATTCGATTCTATATGAGTTCTATACACGACTTGACGCAGATCTGTTGTAATAATTGAATAAATAAATAGTTGTTTAGTATAACATCTGAGATACTATAGTCAATAAGATTTTTTTTCTAACAGATCTTCGATCAATTATTTCAGTATTTGGATCATGAAATATTGTCTTTTTTTAAACTTCGAATGAATACGTATGTAGAGAGAAGTTGTGATTTATGATATTACTATTGACTCCATTCCTAAATGACACTTCATGTTTAAGATTAGTATTGTTATTATTCAATAATCTCTCTTTTTCTATTAAAATAACAATAGATATGTTACAGGGTAAATTGAAATTCAGGGCAAATTAAAATTTTAATCTCCTCTATAGATGAATTTAAAATTTCCCTTGTAATAGATATAAAATCCCTAGATGAATGTTGTATTGCGAATAAATATTTGAATTATTATTTTCATGCATAGCATATTTTTTAGTAGACAAACCATTATCATTAGAATTTGAAGAGGAAAAAAAAGAAATATTTAGTTTTCACAAATAATCATTTATCTTGGAGTTGTATATGTTATATTCAAACTTTAAAAGAGTATTTCTCCTATTTGTTTCCCACAAATATTAGAAGAAAGAAAAGACGTGTCATTAACTTAGTTTTTTAGCTTAATCATAGAGCTTCTGTTTCTTATTGGGAACAGGTTAACTTTGTGTTGTCATCATTGTTTTATTCATATGCAATTCTCTTTTTGTGAAACAACGTAGTTTCTATCGTTTCTTTTTCTGTATACATCATAGCAACATACAAATGAAAGAAAAAATAAAGAAAACACTTACTAAATGAATATTTTTCATCGAGAAAAAAAACGTTTTGAATGTATTGTTATGATAAACAATTATTTAGGCGATTTTGGACTATTAAAAAACTGTTTGTTTTAATTTATTTAATAAATAAAATGTTTTATTCTCTATTAAAACTATTCTACACATGTATCAATCTCAATCGTTTACATCATTTTCATATTGATGTAGAAAAATATGATTATCTATTAAATTACAAACTAAAAGCAATCAAAAATGGAAGAATAACAAAAAGAAAGATTTTCAAAATGCTGTTATACTTTGTATTATAGAAATTTAAGTCGAGTGTGTTCAATTTTGAAGAAGTGTTCAGTTTTCTGGTCTAATAAAACAACTCATCTGATTATTGTTCGTTTAGATATTAAACATTGACTTTATTCTATATGAGTGATATAAAAATTCACTGATATATTGTATAATATATGAAATACATCTGCAATACTCATATTTGAATATTTAAATAAATTTCAGTTGAATCATTTTTATTTTTCTTGAATATTTTATTTTTAACTCAATATTGATAATATTGTTTTTTTGAAATTTCAATTTGGTTGAATCAATCATTCTTCGTATAACTTAAAAGCTCTATTTATAAATATATTTGTCCTCAAATAATATTTAAACACGTAGGAAAATTATCTTTCCATATTGATAATTTTTTTTTTAAAGTCCAAAAAGTCCTGACTACTTTTTCTGATTAAACTGAAGAAATATATTCCGAGAACAAGAAGTCATGACTGTCTTTTGATTAAATTGATGAGAGGTACTCAAAAAAAAAGTCCTGACTACTTTTTCTGATTAAATTGATAAAATGAATTCTGGGAAAACACCGTCTACCACCCACTGAAAAGAGAGAAAAAAAAAGAATTTACTGCTCAATAAATACTCTGACTCCTATTAGGAATTGAATTCATTTGATCAACTTAGAATCTGGTGGGTGATGACTTCAGCAAGAATTTGTTTATGGCTTTTATTTATGATTATAAAACAAATAATTGGCGAAGATACAGGATCAATGATAATGTCTTTAGTACCTGATTCTAAATTTCAATGTGCTAATACAACATGTTTACCATTCATTAATGTTATTAAATCAAACATTAGGAATTGTCAAGTAGCCTGTTTAACTCAAAGTCAATGCAGAGCAGCAACTTTTCATCGATCAACTTCTAATTGTGAATTATTAGGTGATATGTTGAATCAAAATGGAAATATGTTAGCTGATGTCGATGCTACTAGTATGAATGTTATTAGTGGAACACGATTTCCATCGGGTCAGTATAAATACAACACACTTAGAAGAAAATATATCTGTGAGCAAGAATAATTTATTTTCCTCTTGAAAAAGAATTTCGAGTTATCGCGAACTAAGGCAACTTGACAAAGATATTAGATACATTTGTGTGTAAATAATAAATCGATATAATTAGAGTAGCTATTGTAGAATTACAGTTATAATGGAAATTATTTAAACACTTCCTATTTTGTTATAATCAACTGATATTTAAGGTCGATACATTGTTACATAAAAAGAAACAAATGTTATCCAATCGTTTAGTCTGACTCTAAAATGATCTTTTCAAAATAGAACCGACTACGACATCAACATCAACAACATCATCATCCACTTCATCACCAACATCATTAACAACATCAACAACCACAACTACTACTTCGTCATCAACATCATCCACATCATCAACAACAAC